TTGGATTGCCGGAGCTGTTAGATTAACATTAACATGCTTATTGTAGTTGTAACTAAGTGCACTGCCTTGCGGCCTGTAGCAGCGTCCTTGATGGGGCATATGTGTGGGCTGGACCTGTATTTTACAGGAAAGGAGTGAGCAGAATCTCGTTTAATTTGGCATATTACTCTCAATGAATATAAGAAAGCACTGCGTAAAGCCAGAGCAGCCTACTACTCTTCATTAATAGATGAGAATAAGAATAATGCAAGATTTCTTTTCAGCACTGTAGCCAGGCTGACAGAGAGCCACAGCTCGACTGAGCCTTCTATTCCCATAGCACTAAGTAGTAATGATTTTATGTGCTTTTTTAACAATAAAATTGTTACTCTTAGAAACAAAATCAATGACCTCTTGCCTTTGACCAGTATAGTATTATCAACAGCTCCCGGAAACGTAAGTTCTAATATTACACTAGATAGTAAACTAGAATGCTTTTCAGCCATAAACCTTGAACAATTAAATTCAATGATTCTCTCTTCTAAACCATCAATGTGTATCTTAGACCCGATTCCAACTAAGCTGTTAAAAGAAGTTTTTCCATTAATTAGCACTTCTTTATTAAATATTATGAATATGTCTTTATTATCAGGCTATGTTCCACAATCATTCAAAGTAGCAGTGATAAAACCGCTTCTTAAAAAGCACAACCTCGATCCAGAGGTTTTAGCCAACTATAGACCTATTTCTAATCTTCCGTTCCTCTCAAAAATTCTTGAGAAAGCAGTCGCAAAACAGCTATGTGATTACTTAAAAAACTATGATTTATTTGAAGATTTTCAGTCTGGCTTTAGAACACAACATAGCACAGAGACAGCTCTGGTTAAAGTCACAAATGACATTCTAATAGCCTCAGACAAGGGACTTGTCTCTATTCTTGTCTTGCTCGATCTTAGTGCTGCATTTGATACTATCGACCATGATATCCTATTGCAAAGACTAGAGCACTTAGTTGGCATACAGGGAACTGCTTTAGGCTGGTTTAGGTCCTATCTATCTGAACGCTCTCAGTTTGTACGTGTCAACGATGAATCTTCCATGCAAACCAAAGTTAGCCATGGAGTGCCACAGGGCTCAGTGCTTGGACCTATTTTGTTCACACTATATATGCTTCCGTTAGGCAATATTATAAGGAATCATTCTGTAAACTTTCATTGTTATGCGGATGATACTCAACTATATTTATCCACCATCCTCTAGTAGAATGAAGATAGAAGAGAGCAGATATGGACACATAAGAAAGTAGTCAGGATNTGGTGTAGCTGTATTAAAGTCCGAGTGGAAACAGTCGTGTGTAAATCTGATTCCTCCCGGGGTCATATTTCTCCTGCATTCCTCCCGATTTCTGACAAAATCAGATTTACACACGACTGTTTCCACTCGGACTTTAATACAGCTACACCATTGTTTGGTTTCCATGGTAACACGTCTCTTTAGTAGCGCGCGCAACTCAAAGTCTGAGAGGGTGAGGCAGATATTTACAGAAAACAGAACAAGAATCGACAACTACTCTACTCTCTGCTCACTCCTTTCCTGTAAAATACAGGTCCAGCCCACACATATGCTCCATCAAGGACGGTGCTACAGGCCGCAAGGCAGTGCACTTAGTTACAACTACAATAAGCATGTTAATGTTAATCTAACAGCTCCGGCGATCCACTAGCACCCCCCCAATTTTGCATTTTGAAATGCTCCCGATTTCTGAGGTCTAAAGGTTGGCAAGTATGACACACACACACACACACACACACACACACACACGCACACAGAACGAGACTCCCTACCACCCATACACAAAGAATTCAAGCTAAAAGGGCGAACTGCCTGCCAAAAGCATCAAATAATAATACCTAAAATGTCTATCTACTGAAAAAGTTGCAGGGTATCGCCCCCATTGGTTTGTGGACAGCGGTTTTGGAGCCTTAAGTTTGGCTTTTTGGTTCCGTCATCTTGTTTTTTTTCAACCACTGAGGTAGCAATTAAAGCAAAGTACAATCAAATGCAGAAATAGACATTTTTACTTTTAGGCATCCAAAATGATACTTTTATGAACTGCAAACACACTAAGGAAAGGGTCAAAGTTGTAAGAGAGCACCAATACTGGACAATGCAGTGTTTAGTGAGCTGTCCGTAATAAGCTAGCCCTGCTTTCTTATTGTCTAAATTACTCCAAATCGGACCAACATTTACAAAATGAACATCTAGCTGTGTTTAAGAAGACTTGAAAGAAGCGAGTGAGAGCAAAAAGTCCTCAGGAAAATGTTTACTGAGTATATATAATCCATTGAGAAGTAGTGACTTTTTTCTCGTCGACTTCGATACAATCAAACTTCTTTTATATAGTCGCCATCTGCTGGACATTAGAAAGAATGCAAGTTTAAATCACTCGTTTCAATTTTCCTACCCAGAGGTGGCTGCCTAAGAACAGCTTATTAGAGGCTGTCTCTTTTAAAACAACATTTATACTTCCCATTCTTCCCCGCCCACCTCTTACGCCCATTCCTCCTTAAAAACAAAGAGAATTACCCCCATTTTTCTTTCCCCCTTTCATCTTTCTCTCTCCCTTTTTTCTCCTCCCTCTGGCCCCTCCCCTCCCCATCACTTCTCCTTCCCCACTCATATGTTCTCTCTTTCTTCATATGTGAAACCCAATACAGACTGGCTGTCAGTGACACACTCTCTCCTCCTCCTTAACACACAAACACCCACACATTCTCGCCTAACTTGCAAGGTGGCTCCTTGAGGCCGAGGCGTAACATGTGGTTCCAATTAACAAGTAGCACAAAGGAGCAGAGGTTCAGCAGAGCACAGAATAAAGACAGGGTTACATGGAAAGCAGTGGGCAGTGAAGAAGAAAAAGGCAATCAGAGAATTACATATTTTAGAGAATTTTAACCATTAAAAAAAAAATATATATATTACAAACTTTCAGAGTGACTTTGAAAACAGGCATTTCCCTTCATTTGCACACGAGATCTTTAATCTACATTACCCTTGATGTGCAACCAACAGAAGAGGCAGGATCTGATGGACAGATAGTGACGGGTACATGAAAGTCACTGATTACAGGAATGAGGTGTGTGCGGGTCCCCGTGATACGTGCGGGTCCTCGAGATACATTTAAACAGCTGCATTTGAATTCAGCGCAGCATCATCAGCTGA